AATTATTATATTATTTATAATTTATAATTTATTTTCTTAATTATTTTATCATTTATAGTTTAGAATATAGAATCTATTTATTCATTCACTATATTATTTATAATTTAGAATATGTTTATTTAACCATTATTTTATTTATATACAGAATCTATATACGAATTATTATATTATTTTTATACAGAATCTATATACCGAATTATTATACTATTTATAAGTTTTAATCTCGGTATTTAGTTATTATATTATTTGTAATTTAAAATCTTTTACTCAATTATTATATTATTTATGACTAAAGCATATTTAATTATAATATTATTTATAATCTAAATTTTTAATTATTATATTATTTATAATTTATAATCTATATACTAATTTAGAATCTATATTCTTAATTATTATATTATTTATAAATTAGAATCCATATACTTAATTATTATATTAGTTCCGCTATATGTTATGATATAAATAAACAAAGTCACATTAATAAGTAAATGCCAAGTAGCTCAGTTGGTGAATGTGACTTTTTATAATCCAAAGGTAGTGGGTTCAATCCTCACCTCTGGAATTTTGTTTTTAAGTCATCATATATGACAATAAGTGCATAATGGTAAATTAAAGGTTAAAGTAAAGGTATAATGGTAATTTCAGCGAATAGTAACGCCGTCAGCATTAAAGTCACGCCGTTAACTTAAAATGGCGAGTGTGCATTGAAACATTAAATACAGGAGGGTACGTAATTTTTGAAATACCAAGGGAAAACGCGCAGATTATACCATATATGACAATAAGGGCATAATGGTAAATTCAAGAGTAAAGTAAAGGTATAATGGTAATTTCAGCGAAAAGTAGGCGTCAGCATTAAAGTCACGCCGTTAACTTAAAATGGCGAGTGTGCATTGAAACATCTATTACTATATAATACGGAGAAGAAAAACTATTTGAACAATTCGAAAAAAATCATTTCATTTTCCCGCTTCAATATAGTGATTTTCCCGCTTTTTCAATTTGTAAATTTTTTTTTTGAATTTTTTCAGCCCATGCAATTAGGTAACCAATCAAATCTAATCTTTTAGCATTCAATTTGGTAAGGTGTTCCGATTTTAGCATTCAAATCCGATTTCACTTCCTTTTTTTTTTATGCCAATCAATCCGATTTTTTTGGTTGTTTCAAAATTTGTTAGGTTTATATTTTTATTTTATTAATATATTTGAAAGAGAATCAATAAATGTTTATCATAACTTTTATTTTAAAAATAAATTTGAATAAGCACAACTTTTACTTTATATGAAATTCAAAATTACATATTTTAATATATTAATAAACGTTTATTATTTATTTTTTTCCTTATGTGATATAATAGAATTTCGGTATTAAATTTGTAAATTCAAACATTTAAAGAAAAAGATTCCAAACAATTTTTTTGGGTAAATTTCATCTATCTTGGTTTTCATTATCACATTTCTAACAAACTAATTAGTGTTATATTTTTTTATCTACATTATCTAACCGATTTTTTATGATACAATAATATCTTAACAAATTAATCATTTGTCTAACCGGATTTATCTCTCTAACAAACTTGCCAAGTTTTTTAAAATTAAAATGGTATGATTATTCTTATGGAGATACTTATCAATATATTAAATATTTAGAAACTTTTTGTAAAAATGAGTTATCCCTCCTTTTACTTTATTTGAAATTCTGACTTATATTTTTAAATATATTATTATTTATTTTTTTACATGTAAATATTTATTATTTATTATCTAACTGATAAATATTATTCATTTATCTCTTTAATAAATATTTATTATTTCTTTTTTTCCTTACGTGATATAATGTAAATTTGGTTACTAGATTTTTAAATTCAAACATTTAAAGGAAAAGACCACGAACAAATTTTTTGGTTACATTTCATTTTATTTTCACTTTCATATAATCACAATCCTAACAAACTAATTAGTATAATATTTTTTTACCTATTTTTATATACTCGAATTTCTTAAAATATAATTAATATAACATTTTAACTATCTAATCATTTGTATAACTTGATTTAACTCATTATCAAACTTGCCAATTTTTTTTTGAAATTAAAAAAAATTTGGAAGATTTTTATTTGTAAAATAATAAAAAATAGCTTTACTTTAAAGTTTGGATTATTTTCCACTATTTTTTGTACGTTAACAATCATATATTTTGGATTATTGATTTAAAAAAACAAATCAAAACCGTAAGGTTTAATAATATTCCTTAAATAAAAAATATTGTATAAAAAAAAGTATTTAATAATATATATTTTTCATTGATTGTATTTATTTTATTTTCATAATAGACGAGATGTGAAAAATATAAATAATTATATTTAAAATAAAGTCTAAAAAATATTTAAAATATGAACTCTTCCGTGCATCCCACGGGATATACATTAGTTAAATACAAGAGGGTACGCAATTTTTGAAATAGAAAGGGAAAACGCGCAGATTTTATATAATACAGTAGGATTTGGTGAAAAAAAAACCCATATTTTGGTGTTGTGATCATTTTTGTTTATTTTTAATCAATGGTAATTGATGGGTAAACAAAACCAATTTGCAAAGAGCATTCAAAAGTAGCTAGCAACATTATTTACGAGGCTTGAAGACGAAACACCCTTTAACCGTATAATTAAATAATGTTACTGCCAATCATCATCATTCCACAATTAACCACACAGAAATCCCAAAAAATGGAGTCGCGCTTCCACTCTCTGCTCCTTCTCCTCCTCCTCCTACTATCACTGCTCAATTCTCCTATTCTCAATCGGGCCGACGATTATGGCGGCGTCGGAGTGATCAAAGTCAATTACAAATTCTCCGGGTCGGACCCCACTCTCAGCGCCCTAAGGGCGCACGACGACGTCCGCCACCTTGCAATTTTCACCGGAGTCGACCTTCCCCTTGGAGGCACTGGCCGCCCTGAAGCCGTCGGGTCCGCGAAATTTGATTTTTACTTATTCTTCAATTTTTCGTTTTCATTTGTTTTCCTTGCATCCATAAATTTGGAGGTGATCGTGTTTTTTCCCCCTTCTCTAAGAACGATAAATGTTAACTTTCTTATATCTTGCCTGACGTGTTTCTTAGGCAAATTTCTGAATATTCCGGTGTTACCCCTGACCTTCGACTTCAGATAGCAGTATTTAAATATTTGGTTTCGAATTATATTAGAATTTGTAAGTGGTAGTGGTGAAAGTTGTGTGAACTTGAATGTGGCATGACTTCCATTTTTTGTGCTTTCCATGAACCTCTACATGAATTTCTGCATGGATATAGTGTAGTCATGGAACTGTGATGTTCCAACAGTCATGGGGTTGTTAAAATTGTCGTTGGTTGTTATATATTTCCCTTTTGTTAATATTTGGTTTTAGTCACTGTTTGTAAACAGTGATAATGTTTTGAAATTAAGACGAGCTTAAATGTTTTGGTGATGTCTTGAGAAGAAAAGAAACGCAGTGGTTAGTTTTTTTCTTTTCTCTATCCAAATCAATGATTGTGTAGTGTGCTGAAGAACCAGAGACTAGCAAATAGCAAAGCTGCATTTATTCTTCCTGCTTGCCTGAACCAAAGAATTGAGTTTCTAATGTGGTCTTGATGAAGCGATTAGTGTGTACATCAAGGCATTGGTCGTTTGTGAATGTGGAATTACTAATTACTATATCTGTTGCTGATCTGTAGTAAGTTGCTTCATTTTCCTGTGCATATGTTCATTATGTAGCTCCGTCCAGTTTGTTATTTATACTACAAAAGTCATGCGCTCTGTTGGATTCACACCATGCTTAATTTTGTAGCGGTTTCTTCTCTTTACGTAGTAGTCATGCCTTGCATATAGTGACTGGAATAATGACATACATGTGTAGAAAATAAGCTCATGGACATGATTTCATCTTTTTATAATAGCGGGCAATCTTACACGTGATTGTGAATGCCCATGCACACTTCATGTAATATGTGGCTATCAGCGTACGCCTGTACTAACATGGAAAAGTCCAGTGCTAATGAGAAAATTAATGCTTGGTATACACACTTCTTCATTTCTGACTGGCATTTGATGTTTCCAATGAATTATCTGCAAACCCTATGTGGCTATCAAAGTTATTCTGGAAGTTCTTAGTTGCGTATGTAAAATGACTCAAAAAAAATTCTACTGCTATTTCAAAGCAAGTTAAGTACATGTATTGATTTGTTCTCTCAAAGATAGATATTGCAAAGATTGTCTGGTTTAAGTTTCTATGTACTTAATACAGAAGCGTAGTTTATCTCATGTAATGTTTATGATGGTGCAGGCTGTACTATGCTAAAATAGCTATTGGCACGCCTTCAAAGGATTACTATGTACAAGTTGATACTGGAAGTGATATAACATGGGTTAACTGCATTCAGTGCAGCCAATGCCCCCGAAGAGGTTACCGAGGAGTATGACACTTATCTTTGTTTTGCTTCAAAATTTGAATTTAGAGATGAGGTTTTTCTTCATTCATAGGAGTAACATGCTTGTTGTTCTTGTCTGCACTTGACTTGTGATGTTTTTTTATTTTTGCAGATAGAACTTACGCTTTACAATCCCAGAGAATCTCTTACTGGGAAACTAGTCTCATGTGATCAACAGTTCTGTAAAGAGATTGGTGGAGGCTTGACGGGTTGCCGTGCAAATACATCATGTTTGTACACTGAGGTCTATGGAGATGGGAGTTATACCATGGGCTACTTTGTTGAGGATATTGTCCAGTATGATCGAGTGTCTGGTGATCTGCAAACTACATCTGCAAATGGAAGTGTTATATTTGGGTATGCACAATCGATTTTTCTTATATTTTTTTTTTATGTCAAGTTCTGTGACTGTTGTTTTCTATGTACTGTAGTTATTTTCTGAAACAAACTTTAAAACTTATCTATCTGGAGTATGTATCCTACTATCCTATGCTAATATGTGTGGATATTAGTATATCTAAATGATTTAACATCCAACCATCTTTGATGTCTTAAAATTGCAAGAATGCCCGTGTCATTTACAAGTTGGTGCATCAATATCTTGTTGGATTCAATATAGGCTGATCTTCAAAAGAAGTTTAAGTATGGTGCCACCTGTCAGATAAGGCATGTCAGGAAATCATGGATTTTAGAGAACATGGGTCCACTTAATACAGTTCTTACTTGGATGTGATTGTATGCACGTGTTCTTATCTATAGTAGTGCTATATTGGTTAATGTTCCATGTACTGCATTATTCATAATGTTACATGCCTTCTAGAGTGCTACAGAGAAGTTGAATATTTAACTTACTAGTGGCAAACAATAACGGTCTACTGTATATCATCCTAAGTTAGTCAGTTTAATTGGATTTGTTGCAGTTGACCAGTGTAAGAAACCTGTGGCTGTAATATACCCAATCTAGCCAGATGATGATTGGAGAAGTGTGAACGCACAGCTTTAGAACTCTGTTGTGTATATGCATGTGTGTGTCACGATTCTGCAGTATGTGAATTCTCAAATAAGAGAAGTCTTAAAAACAAATGAAGAAATTACATAAATTGGGTGCAAGTGTTTGTGCCATCTTCTAAGGTAGATTCCTGAATGACCTAATGCCTTCCTATAGATTAAGGCAAGCTGTACAAGTTTCTACAAATGAAAATGCATCAGAAATATTAACCCTGAGGACATGCTCTATTTCAAGTAAATACATCAAATTATACTTCAAGTAAAACGCAAAGTTGATCTTTGCTGTGTCTTAGTTTTTGATGTAGGCATTAGAAACCTTATCAAGATGATCTCATTGGTCAAAGATGGAATTTTCACCTTACCAGTAGCAACTCAAAGGTGTCTCCCAAACTTCATTCAGACAATTAGAGGTGGAAAAACATGCTGCATGAAAGCTTTGGGTCAGCTTGATTACCTGCATAAATAACTGGTTGTTTGTTTCTTCCAGATAATAACTCTATGATATATGTTGCTACATTACATTTTCATAACTTCGAAAAAGAACTCATAATTGAACAGGATAGTGTTCATGGTTCTGCAAATTGCTTTCTTTTATGGTGGATTCGTGCAACATATATGGCATTAATTCAATATCATTTTGTATCCTAGTCTGTCTTTGGATGAGGTGTGTAGAAACAATACACTCCTGTACATACATGAAACTGATATATCATAAGAATTTGAAGTTGTTGTCGAATTAAAGTTTTCTCGAGTCTGATAACATGATTCGAATAAATCTTTTGTGTAGATGTGGTGCGAGACAATCTGGGGATCTAGGATCTTCAGATGATGCACTTGATGGGATATTGGGCTTTGGAAAATCAAATTCATCAATGCTGTCACAGCTAGCCTCATCTGGAAGAGTTAAAAAGATGTTTGCCCATTGCTTGGATGGTGTGAATGGTGGAGGTATCTTTGCTATTGGGCATGTTGTTCAACCACAAGTAAACATGACACCTCTGGTGCAGGACCAGTACGTCAGATCCTTATATTTGGTTCTAATTATGTTTTTATGCTTTTGATTTTTCAACCATGGAATATCTTGTGGGTGGTAGTAAATCTAAGAATGCTACATTAGATTAGTTCTTTTCTTGGAATATCTTATAAACCTATTCGTGTGACCTTCCAGATAGAGAACTTGCGGCCAATGTAGTTTGCTGAAGAAATTTATTTGTATGTTCATTTGAACAAAAGTTGAAAGGTGGGCCCATGGTATCATATATGATGTTTACAACATGAGATGGACATCTATTCTCGTTCAAGTGCAAAAGGACTTACTTTATGGAAACATATTTGGATCACATGAAATAGATAGAAGTATGGCAATCAAATATTTGCTATTGAGAAGAGGGTACTTTATGCAATAAAATAATGATTAAGCAAATTTAAGGAACTTTAGTCATGGAGTCTTTTGATTCCATATATTAGATTGCGCTACTTTGAACTTCCACTATTGATTAAACTGACAACTGTATGACTGATTCATCACTCATGGTCGGCGTTCAGTTTTATCGAAACTAGTGTTTGTTTTGTTCATATGTCTTTTTTGTTGACTTAATTCTCTTTGTAATTGTGCTATCTGAGTATGTTTATATTGGTCGGACTTCTACATTGAACAATGCTTCTGTGACTTTGTAGGCTCCATTACACTGTGAATATGACTGCAATTCAAGTTGGTCATGCTTTTCTCAATCTGACAACAGATATATATAATATTATAAACAAGAAAGGGGTAATAATTGATAGTGGCACCACACTGGCGTATCTGCCTGAGGCGATTTATAACCCACTTGTGAAACAGGTATGCCAATGGAGCAGTTCCCATGAAATGTTTTGTCATAGTCATAACTTGAAGGAGGGAGCTTACCATTTGTGTGGTTTATCCTTTTTAGATATTCTCTGGGCAGAGGAATATGAAATTGAAAATTCTTGAAGATAAATACACTTGCTTTGATTATTCCAGAAGGTATTGTGCATTCGACACTCTGAAAGAGTTGAATCTCAGTTGATTGTAACTGTGGCATATGCTGTCGATACAATGATTACTTCAGAAAGTAGTCGAAGGAAAATTTCATCAATCAAATAAATTCTGTCTCTGTCACCAGTATCGTATCAATACTATTTCATTTTTTTTTTTTTTTTTTTTATATTATTGGCTCATTAGATCAGACATGTTTGACTCCTGCTTTTTCCTGAGTTCTTGATAAGTGACTGCAAAATTTGGAATCAATAAAATCTGACATTATAGTAAACTATATTTTTCAGAGCATATTAACCTGTACCTTCCCTTGTGAGTTCTTGGAACCCTTATATACTAGTGTGGCTGTTTTAGTTATATTTATAGGAGAAACACATGAATTGAGCCATATATATATAGGATTGTCGTACAGTGAAATGAGAAATTATATAGCACATCATCTGTTGTTAATATTTAGCATTTTCTCAACATGGCTTAGTCAACTATATTTTGTAACAAGTTAAGCACATATACACTCCAACTTAATTTACTTGTTTATGATTTATCTACTTCACATAGCTGGAGGAGAAGTTCATTTAGTCCCTCGGAGGTCAGCCTAAATATACAGATATTCTATTGTACAGTAATGTAAAAAATAATATCCATGTTTCTTTCTGTGTCATGATGTCTATACTTCTGTCACATAATTCATCACAGATCAGATAAATTTGATATAAAGTATTATCTCTTATCTTGATTGAATACTAACCAAAAGCAGTCATGGACAACTATCAATGTTGTACCCTCCCAACGCTGGGACATAGTTAGTTTGCAACTTGAAAATTTATTTTTATTTTTCTAGAGCTTTGGTACTATATTCCGTGATGCATGGTTATATGTTTATATAGATTCATTGAAATTCATTTTTTCAGTAGTAGAAGGTGCTGTTTTGCTTCTTTTTTCTCATTGTTATTTATGCTGAGTAACTTTGTTTACATCTACTGCAGTGTTGATGATGTATTTCCATCTGTAATCCTTCATTTTGGAAATTCCCTTTCATTGGAAGTTCATCCTCATGACTATCTATTCCTTTTTGTAAGTGTCCTCTGTTAATTTGATCATTAAATAGCACGATCTTTTGCCTGCTTTGTTACTGACTTAGTATATTTTGCTGTTCCGTATCTGCTTGTCTTTTGCATGCTTAAATTGTTGTATGTAGTAATATAGTTTGCATACTGTTAAAAGTTCCGACAAATTTGTTGATCTTTTCTTTTCCATACCACCTGTCCATATGGAAAACCTTACAGTTAGAAGGTAAAGTAACCTTCCTCAAATGTGTCCCCCCATGACACTTATTTTTATGTTATTTCATTTTTTTTGGCAATTACAAAAATTTATAACTTTCATTATTCTTCCAAGAATAGTTGCTGACAAGTTTTTGGTATGCAATTGAACTTTTAATCTTTATGAAAAAACGGTTTCAGCTACTTCTAAAATGTCAAAACTGACTAAAAGCCTCTTTTATGGAATATCAAGAGTTATGAGCATTTATTTGCAAAAATTTGAAGGTTGAGTTAGAATTTTGGAAAAGTGGAACGCTTTGGCATTCTTTCCGCGATTAACTTATATGTGTTTCGAATTGTGTTGTACAACACAAATGCTTAGGGAAAATTCTTACTGAGAAGAAATATTTTCTTTGAATGGTTGGCCATTCCATTAGGTTACTAATATCTAATCGAAGAGAAAATTCAGCTGACTATCTTCCTTAATTTTCCTAAACATGTACAACATTCTGTGTGATGTTGCCGATCTTATTGATTTATTGGTAGTGCTGCAGAACTCGGCCTTGGCCCTAACAGCCCCAGGTCGACTCAAGAAACCTAAAATTGGCAGAAAAACTCGCCATCTTCATTAGTTGGCGACTACTCGGCCTTGGCGGCCTAGCCAGTCCTGCCCGACACAGTTTTTCCCTAAAGAAAAATATTTTAAACCTGAACGACACCCGTGTAATTAATGATATTGGCCCTTGCTTAGACGGCTCTCTGACACCTGCCTAATGCCTAGCAAGTTTTGCAATCTTGTTTATTTGTCGGGTGTTATGGAGTCTGATTGTTCATGCAATGTGTTGGCTCCTTTAGTTCGAGAAAAGTGATTGAATATTTTAATGTGGAGAGCATTTCTTTGAGGAGGTGTGCGATAGATTGAAGTTATTGGACCACGCGGTAGGGATCAAACGGAGTTTAAGGCTTTCTTTGTGTTTTAATTCATAAAGGTTTTTAAGCTGTGTTTTGTAGTGTTAGTTTGAGGATGATTTCTCATCCCCTTTTTATTCTTGCTTGTCTGCCTATTTTTCAGTAATATTTGTTTGTTTCGTTCACAAACTATTTACCTCTATCGGCAACATATCATAGTTCTTTTTTGACTACTTTGTTGTAACAATTGTTATTTTTGTCTTTACTATCGTCCGAGCCGCTGATTATTTTGTTTCATTGTGTGTGTAAATTCCAGAATGGAGAAAACAGTTCTCCTCAAGTACTCTTTAGTAATCAGTTCATCTTTATTTGTTTTGAAATCCCCAGACAATATATGAATATTTCTCCTTTCTATTGAACATTTGGAAAAATGGTAGGTAGTAGAGATTGTTTGTGAATGTCCTACTAGACTTTATTTACTAGATCTTGAAATCAGTGAACAGATGACTGATGAATAACAATGTACCTTTAAAGGAATTCTTGAGCTAAAACTACTGTACCTTTCTTCATCTAAATCATAATCTTGAGTCTCATTGGTGGTTAACTATGATTGTAGGTAAGTTTAATTTTCCCGTTGTTTAGACGTATGAAACACGGTAACATCGTATTCTCAGTTTTTTTCATCTTCTTTAGTGAATATGGTTTTCATCCCTAGTTTCACCCCTCAAGTTAAGTATTTAGATTACTGCATTTCATTCTTCTCTTCTGATTTGAGTATAATAACTATGATCAGTTTTGTTATTGGTTTATATCGCTGGCGGTTGTCTATCCCAGTCTGTCAGTTCCTTTGTCACAAAATGTTATTTCGTGTATCTTGATCACTTTTAATAGGTCTAGAAATGATTCTAGTATTGTCTTTTCTTTTTCTATTTGGCAGGAAGACAAGATGTGCATCGGTTGGCAAAACAGTGGCATGGAGCCCCAAGAAAAAATGAATATGACAGTTTTAGGAGGTAAGACCCATATGCTTGCTGTGCCATTTTTATTTCTTTTCTTCCTTGTTTTCTTAATGATACTTTTAGTGTAGCGGAGCATATATTTATATTGTTTGCTTTCGTTGTGATTAGCTGTTAAAATTCAAAGAGTTGTCTGCCAAATAACCTGCTCTCGATTTGAATTATTTATGTGAATCATGCATACCCTTAATTAAAAGTTTACTGGTTAGTCCCATTTATCGTTATTGATCACAGAACTGATCATGAGATGGTTAATATAATTGAAGCAAAGGCAGTACACATTATATCTCAAATTTCAGAACTGCACCTTCACTTACTCGGTTACTCCTAGATCGCTTGAGTTTGTTTTCCTGTTTTCAGCTATGTTATCGATGAGTGATGAGGAGGATAAGACCTGGAGTTTCCTATTCCTACCTGAATTCACCCATCATCTTATTCTTTCCCTTTGGCTTTATGAAGGACTAAGCAGCAGGATCATATACTTTCTGGGACATGATGTTTAACTTCTTGTTCTCACTATGATGTTGCTCTCTGAAAAATCATCAGAATTTCCAGATGCCAATCATCAAATATAGTTTCGGTACAATCTTAGGAAATGTGAACCTATTGATTAAAGATGATATAACTCATTTGTTTAAGCTACTTGCACTCTGCAAAGGTGTGTACATGATATATATGTGTGTGCGTGTGTGTGTGCATGTGTGTGTGTGTGTGCGCGTGTGTGTTTCAAGTCTGAAGTTTGCTTGGTCCGATATTGGCAGATCTGGTCCTATCAAACAAACTGGTCTTGTATGATCTTGAAAAGCAAGCGATTGGATGGACTGAATATAACTGTAAGTACCAATATGCATATAAATAATTGCTTTATGGTTGATTGAACTTGTAAATGTTCTAGAAGGTTTTTCAAGTTAAGCACATGCCTAAATGTAAGTGTTGATCTTATTTATACCAGTAGAGCCACACCACCCGTAGGGGCGGTAATTAAAATATGTATGTATAAATTTGAAAATAAAAAAATAAAGTTGGTTAACTTTTAAATTTATAATTTTTTTTTTAAAACTACATTATTATTTGTAATTAAAATGACAGACGTCACTTGTACCACTTATCATCCTATATTATAATAATTCTTTTATTCTTTTTATTAATCTGATATATCATATATGAAAAATCGATAACACTTATGAAAGTTATAAACTTTTTAAAATATATTTTATACACTTTAGTCATGTGTTTTATATTTGTAAGTCTTAATGGACATGTAAAAAAATCCAGCTCTACATGGACTACTCCAAAGCACCAGAATTCGACACATAGGATTATGAAACACCAAAAGATGATACCTAGGCTCGGGAAAGTTTGGATTTATATATAGGGAGGGATCCTCATGCTGAGTTCTGGCTGACAGATGGTTAAACCTTCCTATTTGTTCTCTTAAGTACATATTTCTGATTTTGAGACTGGTGAAGCATAAATCTTGAGGTTTCTAATGTCTTCATGAGGATGATTACATTTCCAAAATACATTCAGCATGTGGGTGTTAGTGAACCAAATCAGATATTCTTCAGGATTATTTTTATTCCCCAAGTACATAAAGAAGGAACAAATTTGTTTATTCAGCTTCTGGGGATATCTTAGCATTCAGTCTTCTGCATAACTAGTACGACTTAGGAAACAAGTTCAGGCATAACTATACACATTTTTGGGTTAGTTGTAGGAGAACTCATACACTACTTATTTGGATATAAAATATGTGATGTGCTTAAAAGGGATATCTGGTCAAATGAGCTCTGGTTCAGGAGTTGTAACTTTGCAGCTCAGATTTTATTGCCTGCTATTGGTCTTGACATCATCTGTTGTATGGAACTGACTAATCGTTAAGCCTCCATTTCCATGTACGGAATACATAGAACAAACATATAAATTATGCTCTGATCTGTTATTTGGAAAATGCTTTTGTATTTGATAATCAGCCTTT